ATATTATCTCATTTGATCTTCACAACAAGCCTGAGAGGTAGGTGCTATGATTATCCCCATTTTCTGTTGAAGAAACTGAGACAAAGGTTAAGGTCACACAGAGCAAGGGAGTGGGCTAGATTTGAACTCAGGTCTTCCTGACTCTAGACCTGACTCTAGATCCATTGTGTTACCTAACTGCCTCTAAATAAAGAAATAATGTCTGTGAAGTCCTTTGTAACGGTAAAGTACTGCATAAATGTGAGGTATTCTCAAATAGTAGCTACAGCTAGATTGGAATGGGGTGGAGAAGGCAAAAGAGAATAGCCCTGGCAGAGACTCAAGAGTGGGAAATACTGGACAAGAATTGACCGATGTCCCCATTTCTCTCTCCAAGTGCTTTGCTACTAATGCCTGTCTTTTATATCTCTTTGCCCTGCCTTAGCTGCAGTATCCCTAGTAGGGTGCTCAGCTCACCCTGAGAGGGCAATAAATACTAAATGACTTCCCTTTGGGTGAACTAGATTCTCACAGTCAGAGTAACTGAAGTATAAGAAGAGAAGGAGATGACTGCTTACAGCTACAAACTCATCACAGCAAAGCCTCCAGCTCTGGAAGCCTAAAAATGGAGTTAACCAAGAGTTGGGGTAATTGAGATTCTACACCAGAGGGCACCTTCATCCCTCCTACCCTGCTATAGGAAGGGCACCCAAGAATATAGGTATGAGTCTTCCATGTCATCACAAAATATTCATCCTCTTCCCTGAACACGCTTCTCCTCTGACCCCTAGGGCTGTGAGCAGGGTGGTAGGGATAGATCACCTGGGCACTCACTGCAGGGTCCCCTTGGCTCACGCCCAGGGATTTCTTCAGCCGGAGGATCCTAACCAACTCATGACTCAGCTGATCTTTCATTTCCTCCAGGGTGGCGCGGGAGGCTGTCCCAGGAGAGGAGAAGGCCAGGGGCTCCACACTCTTCTTGCCCATGAAGTGACCTGGAAATGAGATGTAGAGATCATGGAGAGGGCAAGGGATGAAAGGGAGCAAGTTGGAGAAAGGGAGAGTGAGAGAGGTGACCTGAGGCAAGGTGTTTCTGGGGAATGAATGCTGGCCCGAGGATCAGAAGATCTCAGTTCCTCTTTGGGATGCATAACCTTGGTCAACTCAGCTAACCTTTCGAACTTCTCTGTGGTTTAGCTTTCTTGTCTACAAAATGGACTAATTGAATTCTATGATCCTTTAAACTCTCACCAAAGGATCATAGGACGTAAAACTGGAAGTGGCTTTAGAGGTCATCTAGCCTAACCCCTTCATTTTACAGAAAAAAAAAACAAACAAACCGAAAAACAAAAAACAATTTCTGAGGTCCAGAGAATTTAAGAGATTAACCTAAGGCCATGCAGGTGAGCAGGCAGCAGAGCTGGGTTTCAAAGGGATGTCCTCTAAGTCCAAACCTAGTAAGTGCTCTTTCCACTATACCGCAAGATACAGCCCCGCCCCCCCCAAGAGACTTTAGTCAATTCTTCATACCCTCCACCTCCTCACAGTGTGTAGGGGAATGGGAATGTACTTGCCAATCTCTTCATAAATCTGTACACATTTGGTGTTTATTTGTGTGTGCATGTATCTCTGGGTATTAAAGCTAGATGGGGGAAAGGACTGAGATCCCATCTATTTCTTTTCTGTCTATTCAGGACCTGGGGAGAAGAGAAGCTGAAGAACAGGATGTTGAAGGATAAGAAAAGGGTAGGCAGATGGGACTAGTTCTAGGAATGTTGCTTTTTAGCTGTGTCTCCTGGGGCAAGTCATTCAAGCTGAGTTCTGGTTTCTCCACCTATAAAATGGAGATGGCAACAATGCTACTGGTAGAGTGGAGAGAACTCTTGACTGGAAGTCACTGGACCTGGGTTTGAATCATTCTCAGGTCCAGCAAGTCGTCTACACTCTCTGAGGCTGTTTTCTCATTTGTAAAATGAAAGGTTGGACCAGATGACCTCTAAGGTTCCTTCCAGTTCTGAATCTATGATCCCATGATCCTCTTCACAGGGATATTATAAAGATAAAATGAAAGAACAGATCAGAACACATTCATAAAACTCTGAGGGGAGAGCTAGAATTATTGAAGTGGAGAAAAGAGGAAACAGGAAAGGTGGACAAAAATGGGTGCTCTGAGAACAAATAGCAGAGGGACAGATAAAGGGAATGAAGAGGGAAACTAGCGAAGGGAGGAGGAGAAAGAGACTTGTAAAGAGAAAATGGGAAAAAGGGGTCAATGGGAGAGGGAAGACAGGGAATTATCATCTGGAGGTTCACAGAGCCTTCACCCCACCCCACCTATAAAACTGACACCCCAGATCATTTTTTCAAACCCAATGAGTGTACCTGTGGCCCAGAGGTTGCCTCTGGGGTGGATTTTGATCTTGGCTGCTTTATTCTGATGTTCCGCAAAGTCCAGGCTGAGCGTGGAAGTACTGGAGAGGAAAGCAAGGAACACCAGGCAACTCAGGAGCCGAGGGCGCAGAGGTCGGCGGGTCAGCTCAGAGGTCATGCTTGCCTTGGACCCAAATCCCACCATGTACCACTTGTAGGACTTGTCCCTGTCTAGTTGCTTCCCCTGCTCCCTCTCTCCTGCTCTGGGATTTCTCTCCAGCTCCCCTCCCCGCTTCCCTCAGCTCCCTTTAAGTCCCCTGGCCCTGGGGGTGGAGTCTTCTCTATGAATAATGCACAGATCTCTATCTACACTCTCACTGCCTCTGCAGTTCTAGGCATCTGCGTTAACCTGTCCCTGACTAAGCAGCTCTATCTGAACAAAAGGCAGTGAGATGCAAAGCTGAGTGATGGCTCTGGAGTCCAGAAGTCCCGGGTTCAAATCCATGCCGTCTCATAGGCTAGCTGTGAGGGATGTAGGACAAGTTGCCTTACTTCCCTGTGATGCCCTTTGTTTAGCTAGGAAAAGAATTAATGGAATTCAAGGGTTCTTAATCTGGGGTCTCTGAAAGTGTGTGTGTGTGTGTGTGTGTGTGTGCGCACGTGTGTGTGTGTGTACTGATGGAGTTTTTGATTATTTGTACACTGGGTGCTGAAAACCTGGGGTAGGAGGGAATGAGGCTATAAAGAAAGCTGTCTGTATGTGAGTGTGTTCGGAATATGTGGAAATCACAACATCTCAGAGCTTGAAGGATCTTAGAACTTAATTCTATGTATATGTATATTCTATAACTGTTTCAATGTTATTACTTTCCTTCTTAATGTGGTGCATTTTATTTTATACATTTAAAAACATGATCTGAGAGGGGAAACATAGGTTTCATCAGACTGCTGTATCGGACTGTGTTCCATGCCAGGAACAACTTGCACTAGAGGATGCCTAAGATCTTTTCTAAATCTGTGATCCTGACACCCCCACCCCCATCCCAGGAAGTCTGATGTCTCGAGACTGCAAGGAGATCACAAGGTCCACAGATCCAAGAGTAATCCTCTCTGTTCCAGGAACCTCAGGCTCATTAACACAGTGGCTCACATAGGACTTTAATAATAATAATGATAATAGCACTTAATAAGTGATTATTAATTGATTGATGCCCAGTAGTAAAACTCCCTCTCCTTCTCTAATCTCCAGGCTATTTCCTGAGATGGACAAGTTTATTCATTCAACAAATATTTTAGGATTTTCTAGACACTGTTAGGGTGCCTGACCTCAAAGAATTTCCAATCTTAGTTGGGGAGATTAAATTTATGCAAATAATGATAATCCAAGGCAGGCTATGGTAATTGCCACGAAAAAAAGTGAAAAGAAAGTCCTATCAAGTATTAAAGGAGGGAGAGATGATGTCTAATTGGGAGGTGATCATGGAATGAAGAAGTTTCTTTTCATTAACAATTTTTGTCATAGACTTAGATGAAGGTATCAAATGAGATGGCATAATCTAATTATTAAATGGCATCATGCATGTGAGGTAATTTTGTACATCTTAAAGCACCATATCAACATCAGCTGTTTATTTTAAGCTATTTGAGTTTGCAAATGACCAGGTGTAATCAACAGCAGAACTACAGGATGGGAAGACATGACTAGGCAGCAGTTCATGGGAAAAGATCTAGGGGTTTTAGTTGGCTATAAGTTCGATATAAGTTAAGTGTAATGTGCAAAAATTTTTTTAAATGAATGTTAAAATTATTTTTACATGTAATTGGGGAAAATGTTAAATTTTTTTAAAGTGTAATTAGAAAAAAATTTTTTTAAATGTGGTGTGACAAACAAGAAAAGTTAACACAATCTTAGACCAAATTAAGGTAAATATAGCATCTAAATCAAAGCAGACTCTAATATGCTATATTCTATACCAGTCAGACCACACTTGAAGTAGAGAGTTTGATTCTAAGTGCTTCATTGAGAAACTGGAGTGGATTCAGAGGAAGGTGGTCAGTATTAGCAAATGGGAAGGGGAATGAGAGAAGGGAACAAACATTTATTAATCACCTACTACATGTCATGCACTGTGCTAAGCGCTTTACAAATATTTCATTTGATAAGCAGTCCAGAGATCATGGTATACCAAAATCAGCTGAAGGAAGTGAGGGTGAATTTAGCCTGGAGAAGAGATGATTTGAGGGGAGGGTCAGGTTTTGGGATTTCACTAAGTATAGGAAATTACTAGTGAGGAGACTTCCTCCAGCAATGTAAAATCTGCAAATGCTTTTTGACTGGCAGTCTTAGAGAGCTGACTGGTCCCTAAGAGGTTAAATGCCTTGGCCAGGATCACACTACAGATGAGAGTTAAACTCTGGTCCTCTTAGCTCTGAGGTTCTTTTTCTATCCATTACACCAAACGTGTCAAATAAACAACACTCCTGAGTATGGCTGAAGTGGATTAAAATGTAATTGGAAACTATTTAACAAAATAAATTAAAATACAATAAAACAGATAATATTACGTTTTAAAACAAAGTCAATATGCTGCCTGCAGGGATCCTTCTATATGGATTAATGCCCCCATCCCTATTTCAGCTGGACAGCACAGCTTCAGGCTGCCAAGTGGGGTGTGGGTGGGAGGGCAAGGTAGCAGCCTTCAAATAGGACTGGACTCAAGTTTGGATGGCGCCAGTGGTCAGAATTAGAACCAATGGGTGTAAATTACAGGAAGCCAGACTTCCCCTCCAGGCAAGCAAGATCTTCTTAATGCTTAGAGATGTCAAAATATGCCATGGGCTACCTTAAGAAGTTTTGAGTTCTCTGTCTTGGAAAAGGGTCTGAAAGGAATCTGGATGACTACTTACCCTTAGGGATACTGTAGAGGGGATTCATGCACTGAATAGGAGCATGTACTCTGTGATCTCTAAGATTCTTTTCAACACTAAGATTATTATACTAATTTTAGGGTGGTGTTTGGTGAGCCTGGAAGGATGTGTAGGATTTTAACAGGCAGAAATTGTGTAGGGAAGTAGAGATAAAGGAAGGACATCATAAACAGGGGAGATGCTGTGAGAAAACAGCATCGAACAGTTGGTTTTGCTTTCCTGGCTTTCTTTGTTACAAGGGAGGATTCAAATGGAGGGAAAGAGGAGGAAAATATATTGGGAAATGACTGGAAAAAAAGGCATAAACAAAATTTATTTTAGAAAAGAAAAGGAAAGGAAAGGTACTGAAGTGGGAGAGAGTGGAATATTTGCATGAAATGATTACTAGTCTAATTTGGCTGGTACAAAGGCTATCTGTAGGGGAAGAGTGCGAGATAAATCAAGAAAGATAGGCTAAAGACAGAGCATGGGGGTCCTTGGGTACAAGGCTATCACATTCAATGAATTTTGTTCCGTAAACAGTCAGAAGCCACTGAAAGCTTTTGATCAGAAGAGTGATATGGTCAGGTGAATACTGGTCACAACACTCGGAAGGATTATTTGAGTGAAACCGGAGGCAGAGAGATTGGCCAGGAGGTTATTGCAACTGTCTAGGCATAATGTAAGAAGCATCTAAATTAGGGTGAAGGCAGTGGAAATAAAAAGCCTTTTTATGGAGGCTGATCCCAATTATCTGGTGGGAGGGAAGGAGAAAGCTATTCCTAATTAACTCTAACGTTGGACCCTCATTCCATCCTTTCCATAGTTTTCTTTGGAATGAGCTAGACAGTAGTTAGAATGATACCTTGGAGGTACTGAGGTGCCCAAGAGACAAAGGAAAGTAGCAAAAAGGCATACTGACACTATGGCCTTGGCCTCTACATGTACCAGCAAAGTGCCAATCATTTCGAATTACTCTTTTTGGCCAAAAACATATGGAGCCACCATGGGATCTGGAGGGATGCTTCAAAATGGATCAGAAGTTCAATTTGTTTCAACAAATATATTTAAATACCTTTTATGTGCAAGACATTACTCTAGGTACAGGGGGTCAAAAGCTGAAACAATAACAATTGAACCTTCAAGAAATTTATACTCTGAGAGAGGTGTATAAAATGTACACAGACAAGTGTGATAGAAGGTAGGAGAGCCAAAGTGCAATAAGATTTGAGAAAAGAGAACATTTTCAGCTGGGAGTAGTCGGTCAGTCAGCAAATATGAACTTATTAATTGCCACTAGGGGTGCAACAAAGGACTTCAAAGTCTAATGGGGGAAACAACCCACAAACAACTATGTACAAACGAGTTATATGCAGGAAAATAGGAGATAATAAACAGAGGGAAGGCACTGGCATGAAAGAGGATCAGGAAACGCTTGTTGTAGAAGGTCTGATTTTATCTGGGACCTGAAGGAAGCCAGGGAAGTCAGGAGGTGGAAATGAGGAGGGAGAGAATTCCAGGCATGGGGGACAGCCAGTGAAAATGCCTGGAACTGGGAGACTGAGAGTCTTGATTAAGAGACAGCAAGGAGACCAGTGCATTGAATTGCAAAGTACATAAAGGGGAGTCAGGTATCAGAAGACTGGAAACGTAAGAAGGGCTCAAGTCATGAAGGGCTTTCAATGTCAAACAGAGGATTTTCTATTTTATTCTATAGGTGATGGGGAGCCCCTGAAGTTTTTTGAAGGGGAAGAAAGGGGACATGGTCAGAACTGAACTTTAGGAAAATCACTTTGGCAATTGAATGGAGGATGGGTTGTGGTGGGGAGAGACTTCAGGCAGAGAGATTTAAGAAAAGAGGTTATGGGGATAGTTGAGACATGAGATGATGAGGGCTTATACCAGGGTGGTGATAGTATCAGAAGAGAGAAGGGAGCAAAAATGAGAGATATTATGAAGGTAGAATTGACAAGACTTGGCAAGAGATTGGACACAATTGGGGGTGGGGTGGTTGCTGTTGTTGTTGTTGTTGTTGTTTGTCCTTTTTCTCAAAGAGGACCATGACATCAAGGAGGTGATGCCTTGACATACAAGTGGATTGAATTTAAGTGAGAGAAGGCTGTGCAAAGTCACCAGCCTCACTTTCTCCTTCAGAGCCATATGGGTTCAGTGACAAGATATAGATCAGGAAGACTGGAGATGGCCCTGGATGCAGTGGGAGACCTTGGCCTTTTAAAGTTAAGGTGTTTCCCAGGCCTCAGTTTGACTAAG